AACCACTCTATGAAGAACTATAATGACAAGATATTAAATATATCAGTATTAATTTCCTTGCCTAGCTTTTGTCACCACTTTTGGGATTACTGTCAGCCTTCTAAGAGGAATATGAGTCTCCATCAGACATATGTCTTCAGCTCCAAATCCTAGAGTATGTGCATGCGTTGTGTGCACATCTTTCTCTTACATCCAGACTTCTTTTGTCAGTGGCTGGTCTGCATACTTGAAAAAGAAAGCAGGGAGAATATAACAAAGCTAAGTTCAGTGTTGCTTTTGAACAGGTTATTAATGTTGTTTGAGATCTGGTTTTCAAAGCCAACTTGGTTATGAATATTGTAATTGCTTGTGTAATTACAGTAGAAACTTACCTTAAGAGGTGTAATTATATGCACCTTTATCAAATCCTTATTTTTGTTGTTTCTTATGGAGCTCTGTTACTCCAGACTTCCCCTTGTTGACAGATGTGGCCAACCTCTTTTTCAGCCACTTGGAGGGACCTTTTGGGGTTTACCAGCTGTCCCCAGTGTGGGAGATGAGCAGCAGACACTTCTATAGAGGCTGGATGACTCCAGATACAGCAGATTCATTGGTCCAACCAGGATCTCTGAGTTGCACTAGAAAACGTTTTTCATGTTGTCCCAGGAAGTTTACACAGGAATAATCCAAGTGACTTTCTAATCGGTTACCTGTGCAGTTAACATGTATAATGAATAATTAAAGAATTACGCCTAGTGAGAATGACAAATCTATTGTTGTTTTTCTTACCCAGCCAGGGTTCTGAACTAGCATTGCAGGGAAGAGAGCTTGCTAATCATTTCAAGACTGAGGGAACTCCAATTATGATTGGTAAGTGCTTGAGTATTAAAGAAAGCCAGTGAAAGTTCATGGCCTCCCTGTGCTGAATATTATTTCAATTAGAAACTCTTCAATTTACTGTACGAGAGTTAATCAAAACTGTAGATGAATTAAAAATTACGATTTCCCCAAGGTAGCTTCAAAAATGATACAATTTAGTCTGGCTGGTATCTTTTAATTCAGTATTTCTCCCAAGCTCAGTATTAAGCATGGTAACAAAAGTCAATCTAAATGGTGTTTTTATAAATTGCTCTTAAGTCATAACTCGAGAGCTGACTTGTGCTCTCTAGAGGAACAGAAAATCATACAACTCACAGAAGCATAGTGATTCTCTGGCTTGGAAGAGAAGGATATTATCCAAATTTTTTTAAAGACCAGTTTTAATAATATGAAATGTTGTTAAGGTAAGTGCCATTCCTAAGAATACTGTAACTTTAATTGACCTATTTCCAAGCTGTGGTTTATAAAATTAGTAATATTGTTATTATTATTTTCAGCTTTAATAAAATTAATTTTAGCAATTTTTACAATCCATATTTGATACTCCACAATATAGTGTTACTTTCTCAAATTAGAAGTGCCAGAAGTTCAGGCTTTGCTATGATGATGGTTTAGATTATATGTTAAGAAAGAAGTGAGGGTGGTAAGGCACTTGTTGCCCAGATAAGTTGTGGATGTCCCATCCCTGGGAGTGTTCAAGGCCAGGTTGGATGGAGCTTTGAGCAAGCTGGTGTAGTAGATGATGTCCCTGCCCACAGCAGCAGGGTTCGAACTAGAAGATGTTTGAGGTCCCTTCCAACCCAGACCATTTTATGATTCTATGACATATTCTTTGCCTTCCAGCAGCCTTTTTGTTTGAATTTCAAGAATTTAGAATCCTGTGTTGAAAAATCTTTTAGGTTTTAACTTATCCTTCCCTGTAATGTTCTCATGTTGGTTGGTTTAATTTTTTTTGTTGTTGGAGGTGCTGAGATTGGCTGTTTGGGGGTGGGGTTTGGGGCTTGGTTTTGGCTGTGTTCTTTTGCAGATTTTCCAATTCCTATCTGTTGTGTGGAGTCATTACTACAGTACTGCAGGGGCATAAACTCCTCATGTTATCTGAAAGAAATGTGCCCATCTCATCAAAATATCCCTTTTTCCTGTTTGCAAGCTAGAGAAAGTCAGAAGTTACTACTCTGCCCCTAATACCCATTGATGTAACTTAGTGGAAAACAGCAGATAAACCTTACCCAGCAATTCTGATTTCTGTTCTAACTTTAGTCATTTTACAACCAGAAAGTTTTCCAGATTTCTTTTATATAGTTAAGTTTCTTTAAAGAAAAACTGCGAAACAGATGTGTTGAAATATTCCTGACTTTATCTGGTGAAAGTGTTGAGGATTTAACCTGCCTTGCTGACTTGGAAGAAATTTGCAAAGTAAAGTCTTTACTTACTACAACTAATCTTCCCTAGTTGTAGTTGTGTTGTTTAATAGTGTGAAGAATCTTATGTCAGCTTCAGAATCTTGAAAACTAACAGAATCTTGATAGCTAAGCTAATCTGTAGAAAGCATTGATGTACTTTTATTTAAGCCTTGCACATTAGCCATTCTGTGTTAAAAAAAATTTAGCAATTTGTGTTTGTCCTATTTTAGGTGGAGGTGTTCTGGCTCACACGATATTAGGAGTGGCTTGGAATGAGATTACAGGGCAAATAAAATATTTGATTCTAGACCCACATTACACTGGAGGAGAAGATCTGCATGTTATTTTGGAAAAGGTGAGGCTTGATGCACATATATACACACAGATTTATGTATATACATATAATGGCCAGTCTTCGCGAGCGAAGATCCGGGGAAGGTCTTTCCACCTTCCGGCCTGCGCATTGGATTTTTTAGGTGAGACACAGTGTGCGCGGAACTGAGCCCACCCTTTAATCCTAAGGTTCATCTGCCGGGGCCAAGCGAGCTTGGACGGTGGCAGTGAGGTCCTTAGGACGTAGGTGGGTTGCCTTTAAGGGCTAACGAGCCCCACCTGCCCGGGAGTGGCCCTGACCGGGAATCGAACCCGGGTCTCCGCGGTGAAAGCGCGGCGCCTTTACCCCCTAGACCACCAGGGGCTCCGTATATACATATATTCTGGCATTAAACAAGTAATGTACAGCCAAATACCAATTGGCCATTATATGGCTTCTCCATTCCTTATGGAGGAAGTGCTTATCCCAGTTAACCTGCATACTACTATATGCTACTTATTATCAGTTCCTGAAACTTAAGTGTCTTTGGAGAAGATGTATCAGATCAGCAACTGTTCTTCATTTTATCTGAAGTAACCCATCTCCCTCTTCTACCCTGTAGTGTATACAATAACTGCATTTAGTATTTTGAATGAAACAGAAAAATCTGTTCAGCCTGTAAAATGCTGAAAATGAAGGAGAGAAGATAGTGATTTATTTTAAATTTTAAAAATTATTCTAAAAATCCAACACTAAGCATTCTCAGATCAGGCCTTGAACTATGTTTAAAGGTCAGGTACTGAACTGTTTTGAAAATGTGGGAGAACTCTAAAAAAGAAACCTCCAAAGAGCTAAAGGGTATCTAATATTATTTCCACATTTAAAGTCCCTAAAAGGGAGGACACAGCACATTATAAAACAGTAAACAGTGTCAGAAATGTAAATTTTGAAAGTGGATAAATCCTCCTGTAGATGTTACATAATCAATTTCTTCTCTGTTCTTCATATTAAGTTGCAAATAGTAACTTTTATTTCAAATCTTTTTTTGATATCCTTGTGTGGGGCCCAACAGAAAAAGCTGTTTTAAGAAACATATTGCTGGACTGTAATTATCAAAGCTTGACATGAAAAGATAAACAATTCTTGACATGAAAAGAGAACCAAAGAACATGTAGGACCAAAGGCTGTTACAGCTACAGTTAAGAATGATCCAGGAGGATAGGATACATGAAGAACCCACTTTCCTCATCAAAAGTGGCTGGGGAGGAACTGAGATGGACTGTAATTTTGTATCTCTTTTCTTCAAAAACATCTCCAATAATTCTTTGGTACTCTGCAAACTTAAGAGCTTTGTTAGACTTTTTTTTTTCCTGGAGAATCAGGATGAACACCACCGTTTCTGATATTGAAAGCTCTGCTTGGGGCTGAAATATCAACTGTTACCAAAGAAGGCAAGAATTCAGGATGAGAAATGGGAACTGTGAGAGTGATTTTAGAATAATATTAGTCTCTGTAGCAGCAGAAAGGTAGTGGGAAGGGGGCGTGAAGTGCAGGAGATGATACTTCTGGGAACTAAACTGGGGATGTAGGAAGAGGGAGAGAGAGTCTCTGTAATAAACTTTCCATTAATGTGTTTCCAGGCATGTAGGGAACTTTTTGAAAATTGTCATTGCATTCTATAGCTATCTGAAAAGAATTCCTACAGCTTAGCTTAGTATGGTTAGTAAAACAAAATCAATACAGTAGAAGTAGGTAAGAAAACCAGAATTAGTAGTAGATTTAAAAGTTATCTTGCTTTTTCTTGGACAGGGCTGTTGTGGATGGAAGGGCCCGGAGTTTTGGAACAAGGATGCCTACTATAATCTGTGCCTACCTCAACGACCAAAAGCTATTTAAATTCCTCTCTTATGCTGGAACATGCTATGCCAGAACATTAGCTGATCTAGATAAAACTGTCCTGTTATTTATCAGAAGAATGCTTTAAGTCAATCAAAACTCAGTTGAAATAGAAATGTTGCTGGAGTAATTTAAATTAAGGAACTTTTTTTTTTAAATGAAACCTCTAGAAATAAGAGTTATCTGCTGGGAACTGCTTTTCTTACAAATGCATTTATTAGGCATGTATTATTCTTTTCCCTAAGGCAACTTTACGTTTATATAGCATTTTTTGCTACGTTAAAATCTCTATAGATTAAATGCCCAATCCTTTTATTTTATGGAATTCTTCCATGATGAAAAGATGAACTGTCCCCTGCCTTTCAGATTCTACGCAGCCAGCTGTCTTGTGTGCTGGGCATCTATTCAAAGGCATTGTTTGCTGCTGGTACTGCCAATGAAGGCCTTTTGGGAGTGAGAAAAAATGGCTATATGTACTGAATTTTATGAATTCTACTCTCATATGTACACAGGAAAAAAAATCAAGAGAATTAATTGTCATCACATGCTCATTTATTTATAGCTGTATGAATACAACTACTGGGGGGGGAAACCACAACATTCTTCTGTAAGAAGTAACAATATACAAGCTTTCCTCCTTCTCAGAAGGAGACAATGTCCCAGCATATACATCTGGCTGCTCAATGTATCATCCAGTCATGTTTCTTCACTTTGGATTTGCCACATTTCATGTTGGGATTACAAGCTGTTTCTTCTAGCAGCTAGGAAACAAGATCTGTCATATGAATAAACAACAATAAGTCTGTAGCTTCTACATCAGTACACCAGTAAAAGTACCTATGATTTTTTTTTTCCCTTTGTTAAAGTAGCTTTTTCAGTGGCATTCCCCGTGCACAGTCCATTTCCAAAAAGACCATGACCTTAACTACCTATGCAAGTTCATCCTTACTAGCAGGCTTCTACATCTAACTGCTATGTGTATAAAACCATTTACTTGGATGCTGAAAACATTTAGAAAAATATTCTGAATTGTATTAAACCAACTGTATTACACACCATCTGATCTTCTTCTCTTCCTGCTTATGGATCTGCCGGGTTTACTTTCTTGTTTCTGTGCAGTTGGATCCTCTCTCAGCAACCCATGTTTGTCACTGAGCAAGTAGCCAGACCGTCCTTTCAGTTTCATTGTCTGAGTGTGCTGAATTGTCGTGAGGAACTTGGCACATTCCAGAAAGCCATAAGCCAGTGCAAGATCTGCTGCTGTCTGTCCACTGTTGTTGCACAAGCTGAAACACAGAGTTAACAATAACCAATTACACTGGCATATACATTATGAGCAACCACTGATTAGGGGTATATTTAGACAGATGTATAAAAATAAGTACAGAAAACCAATATCAAGAAGGTTTGTCAAGGATAGCGTGGGGCTCATACAGAGGGCTCCTATTAAATACAACAAGGAATTATTTTTAAATAAATTCATCATCAGACTAGGACTGGCTTAGCATATCAGAAAGGCAAGAAGAAGGTGAGCACAGCATTGGAATGGAAAACTAACGAGGAGAGATTATGATCAGGAATATTCTCTCAGTTATTACAGAGGTATTTAACGTGGAACTAAATAACAGCATATGGTCCATGCTACTTTGATGCTTATGTCAGTTTTTAATACTCTTATGCTGTAGTCGTACTATTTTTGCAGCCTTAGCATGCATGTTCTAAACGAGTAGAAGTACTGTGTAAAGTACACATCCTTTGATGCTGTTACTGAAATTACTAAATGTAACTCAACTTACTCAATTTTGGCATCGCCAGCAACAAGGAGAGCGAGACATTCCAAACTTCCAGCTTTTGCTGCTTTATGAATTGGAGCTTCTCCAAGGCAATCCTAAAAACACAGTTTACATATAGCAGTAATTTGAAGAAGGAGAATATGATAAAGCTATCTTGTTCTTCAAAATGACTGTGTATATCAGCCTGTTGAGAGTTGAGAGAGAGTGTGCTTGGTAACTGCCGTTAAATGTTTAGTGTATCCGTCACCACAAAGTAAAAACAATGTTCCCTGCAATATTCGTTTTTTAACCTTTGCCTTCTAAAAGATAATTTACACAGAATACACTCTGTACACTGATTAACAGCATCTTTAAGCATCGTTCAGGGATTGCTGTGACCAACAGCTTGCTACCAGCTCGGAGGTATAAGTAAATTAAACTTTGCAGCTAAAATCCTTATGTTTACTGGAAGTAGGGACAAAATTTTGGAGGAAAAATAAATAATCATTTGTGTAAAAGAATTAAGTTCTCTGGAAATCTGCATGCAGCTCTGTGCGAAAATTGCATTATTATAGCAAATGAAATTGGTAATGCAATATAGACAGGAGTTTCTGGTTCATGCTAGAGCTTTCTCTAAAATAAGTGACCCCAGGTACCTCATACAATACAATTGTGTATAAAACCTCTCTTAGATAAAAAGTATGTAAATAATATTAACTAGATTTACTGACATACCAGATTAGAAGTGGAAGGAATGAAACTTATGTGTTTTTACCTGTTGGTTCAAATTTGCTCCTGTCTGTAGTTGCCAGAGTAGGAAAAACGCTTCACCACCGCAAGCAGCCAAGTGAGCTGGAGACTGACCAAAGGCATCTGCAGGTGCGTTCACACCGGTTCCTGCCTCAAACAGATTGCTGAAACTACCAGACTGGAAAAAAAAAAAACAATAAATCAAAAGACAAAGAAAAAAAGGAAAAGAAAAGAAAGAATGTTACTGCCAGTCTAAGCCACAGCAGATCTAACCACACTGCATTATGGCAGGAAACATCCCCCTCGCAAATCGTCGGACCTTCATGTTCCTTGAAACTTCCCTTAAAATAAATAAATAAATAAATAAATAAATAAATAAATAAATAACAGCTCCAAGCATGACTTTTTTGGCTTTTAATCTCATAACCAGAAACGCCGACCGACGGCGGCAGCGCCCCGGCATTCCGAGCAGCTCCAGGCAAAAAGTACACTTCACCCAGTTCCGCGTCTGGGCTCCCGGTAAGACAAAACAGTCAGACCGACCTTCCCCAGACCTCACCTCTGAACTGCAGTCCAGCATCAACATCGCCTCCCTTTGCTGAGCGCGCCGGGCTGTCGGGGCTCCGGGGCTCCGGGGCTGTGGGGGCTGTGGCGGCTCCGGGGCTGTGGCCGCCCGCCCCCTCCGCCAGCCGCGCGCCGGCAGCTCCGGCCGCAGCCCCCGCCCCCCTTGGCCGTGTCACGTAGGCAGCGGCAGCGCCCGCCCGGCCGCCGTTGGCCGCCATTGGCCGCCCCGGGGGCGCCGCGGGGCGGGGCCGGGGCGCGGTGCCGGTGGCTGTGCGGGCGGCGGCGGGGGCGGCCATGTGGCGCGGGGCGGCTCGGCACGTCCCGCACACACTCGCAGCCGCGGGAGCGCCGTGCCCGCCCGCCAACCCGCTGGTGTCCGCCATCCCGCCGGTGTCCGCCATCCCGCCGGTGGCCGCCATCCCGCCGGTGTCCGCCATCCCGCCGGTGACCGCCATCCCGCCGGTGACCGCCATCCCGCCGGTGGCCGCCATCCCGCCGGTGACCGCCATCCCGCCGGTGCCGCCATCCCGCGGAGCCCGGCAGCGGCCGCGGCACCGGCCGGGAGCGGGGGTCTCCGGAAACCCGTCGTGCCGCTGGCAGCCGGGAGCCCACCGAACCGCGTACGCGTCATTCTGGTTTGCCGGGTTTTGCTGTTGCCAGGCACAGCCTCCCGTGAGGTTCTTGCCAACGTACCTTAACGCTGGGTTGGGAAGGCAAAAGCAAGGCAGACTTGGATCTAGGAAAGAAAGCAATAGGGGGTTAATTTAGAATTTCCCCCCAAAAAAAGTTCAAGTCAGTATAAAGAAATCCCTGTCTTCCTGCGCAAGCTCTGCCATTAGGCCAGGGAGACTGACCAGACCTGCCATGCTCGGTGGAAGCCCAGGCTCCCATTCGGAGTACATGTCACACAGTCTGAGCAGGACTAGAACTGGTGATGGTGCAGGTGGGCACAGCCATTTGTTGTTACATCTCTGCTCAAAACACATTTGCAAGAACCGCAAACTGGATTGTCACTGACTTGAGTTCGAAATGTCCCAGAGAGGGTCAGACCGCACGAGCCAAGGTCGCAAACAGGCTTTCCACCCATAGACCTGTCTGTGCTGCAAACCAGAACGTGCCACAGACATACTCAAAGACCGTTTCAATCAAAAAGAAGTGCCTGGAGTCTGTTTTGCCCCTGGTGCAGTGGCATTTCATGGTGCAACCTGCCTTCCCCTCACAGAGCTGTAGTACTCAGTGCCCATGGCAGCTGGGGAAGGCAGGGCTGGAAGGGCTTAATGCTTCTGCACAGAGAAACCACAATCACCATCAGTGACTGCTTTGGGTTTCCAAAAACAGCTGCATAACTTCATTTTGCATGTGCAGCCCTTGCACAGATTATGTTTGAAAGCAACTGCCTGTCCTTTTCATGCTGTAAAATCCAATTTGAGAGAAGATTCAATTAGTACTAATCATGCTTCACAATTAAAAGCCTGAAGAGCACAGCACACTAACCCGATGTCCAAAGGTACACAGTTCTGTTTCCTTAGCACTACAGTATTTTCTTATCTATCAGATGCCTACATAGTTGTTATGGATGTTATCATTACTTTAAAAAAAGAAAAAAAAAAGTCATGTATTAAAAAAATATTAATAATTGCATGGGTTTGATAAGCAGAGGTAGGGGAAAAGAAGCTTAACAGGCTTCTACCCTTTAGGGTACACATAGTTCTGAAATGAATGCACAAACATGATGGCAATTACCTCCTGTTTCGCCTTTGGAAAAGAAAATATAGATTACTTGAGTAGTGGAACATGAGCATATAGAGTATCACTTTTAAAGGAGCAAAATTCAGGTAGATAGGCAATGTATCGATTCAGCAGAGTTATTTCAGTGACAGATTTTACCTCTCCTTTCATATGGAAAGAAATACACCTGTGTAATTACAAAATGCTGTGGGGTTTTTTTCCCCTGAACAGCTAGCCAAGAAAACTAGTGAATAAACAAAGAAAATCCCTACACTTCTAACTATGCATTGTTATGCAGGGAATGATATGCCTCTGCACAGATGCCTGAAATCCACAGTAATTTCTTATGCAATTACAAAGACTCTTCTGAAAACACACACGTCCAGAATTAGTTTAAGACTAAATAGTCTTGGATTGCCCAGGAGGTTTGGGATTTTTTTTTTTTTTTTAAGACCTTTCCTCCCTTCCATTACCTCAACAATTCAGAGGTTTCAAGCTGCACCCAAGGAATCCTATCCTTCCAGCCCAACCACCTACACAAACTTTTGCATCCGGTCAGGCACAACTCTCTTCAAATTGCTATTAATTAGTTCTTGAGCTTCAGGTCACATTTTGCACACTGCATTAGTACTTACAGAGCTCTTCTGCCTCTGAATAACTGGTATGTGTGTTGGTTGTAAACACAGAAGCAACAATTCTCATCTATTTTGTATAGCCCAATCCAAGTGCCACTTAAGAACAAGGCTTCCTCGCTACAGTTGCTCTGGAACAAAACCTGCTAAAAATTCCCCTGCGCTTTATATCTCAAACCACACGTCTTGCTCACATATCAAGTAAATGAAATTGAAAAAAAATGGTTCTAATAAATGTATGTAAGCATTGGATAAACCAAGGTGTGCTGGTGAATCTCAAATCCTTCAGCATTACAAGCAGCCACGCAGCCCAGTGTTGAGTATCTTTGCTGAAGGGCACTGTTGCTTTCACAGACTGTTCTTCACTCTGCCTGTTAAATCAAGTAATTTGTTGATGCTTTAAAAGAAAAAGGTTATTTTCCTGTAAGTTTCTTAGGCTGTGTCATACATGCAAAATTAATCAGGATGAATTTTAGGAGTTTTTTTGGTAGTTAAAGTCAGTTGAAACTGTTGGAAAACATGATGTAGAGCCTACAGGTTTAACCACACAAATCTGCAAGCATCACTCCTCTGTTTTGACTCTTGCGTCTGTCCCTGTTGCTATGGAAACAGATCGCACTGCCAAAAATGGAATGATGATAATCATCTAGAAAAAAAGAGGAAAAAAAAAAGATGGGAAAGCAGCTAAAGATTATTTTGAAAGCACTCTTGCAACATTTTGGTATTATTTTCCTTTTTATAAGAGAAACAGAAGCAATCAACAGAAGTGGAAGCAATGCCTTACATTTCAGGAGAAACAGCGTCAAACGGCATTTTCCCTCAATTATCCTTTTACATTTTGTAGTATCTATATAGGGGAAACAAAGTACATTACAACAAACAGTTTCTGATCCCTGAAGGTGCTGAAGTCCTGTTTGCTGGACTGAAGCTTCATGTCCTGGTGCCTTTTTACTAAATCGAATTCACAGTTTCTACTCCTTTTGCCTATAACCCCTTTCTGTAGAGCAGTTTGGGCTTCTGCTTTTAAATTCGGACAGGACCGGCAGGAAGCAGGAAAGGTCCGGTGTGTGCCCAAGCGGCAACCTGTCCCGTCACTTGTTCCCACAGTTTGGCACTGGACAACGGCCGGAGGTGGAGCAAAGACCAAACGGAAAGTGCCATCGTTACAGTCCCTGCTTTGCTCTTTCTGCCTCGAAGGCCGTGGGACCCCAGCCCCAGCCATGGAGCGGGGCCGGGTGCCGCCGCAGGCCGGGCTGTGCCTCGGGGGGGCCCGGCACCGTAGCGGGGGACGCTCGGGCGGCGCGGGGGGCTCGGACCCGGCCCGGGCCGCGGCGGCGCCCCCGAGACACCGCGCCCCGGCCCGGCGGGACCGGGCTGCCCCCGCCCGGCGGGCTCGGCCAGAGCCCCCTTCGGGCGCGGGGCTCCCGGGGGGCTTCGACCGCCGCTGCTGGATGGCGCTGCACAGCGAGCCGCTGCCGCCGGACTGCAGCGCCCAGTCCGCCTCTGGCACGCCAGGTACTGCTCCCACTGTTCCCAGCCCGCCCCCGGGATACCAGGTACTGCTTCGCGCTCGCCGCTTCCACCTGTTCAGGTTCGCCTTTAAGCTCTTCCAGGACGAACTTCACGTTCACAAGTTTGTGAACAGGCTGTATTCACTGAATGTTTCCTTCAGGCTTTTGCTGACCTTTTCCTTTATATAACACATCCCTCTCTTCTAATCTTAGTCTTTTAAAGAATGCATTAAAAAGGGGACTTGGCCAGCTTCAGACCTTCGGTATGCTCACTGATGGTGTTCCAGCTCTGGGGACAGAACCAAATGGGTGTCTATTTTTAAGGAGATGACCGCATCCATGCTGCACTGTTTGCAAAACTAAAGGAGTTGCTGGTGAGGAGAGCGTCAGATGGAGATCCTCCAGCACCTTTTCTGGATGGACAACGGTACTATGAACAGGTTGTGCTTTCCATCTTTTAAGTAAATCTTACAAAGCTGACAATTTTCAATACCATTTCAGTGGGAAAAGAGACATCTTAAAAAAAAAAAAAAAAAACCAAAAAAAACCTACAAGAAGTTCCTATGTCTGTTTGTATCCCATTAAAATCACCAATAAAAACCCTAAAGCTTTTCCTGCACTTTCCCCAAGCATCTAATGATGTCTTCCAGTTCCCTCTCAGGTCTCCTTAGGACCAGATGAAAAAGAACCAGCCTATCCTTACAGCTAACTTCCAAGCCAAGTTGGTTTTTCTTGGCCAGCTGACTGGTCAAACACAATGCACTGTGTTTTCAGTTACCAGGGGTACTGATCCCTGACCCAAGACAGAGCTTTCGATCTTTGTTCCCCACCAGTTTTGATGAAACTTGTTGAAACATGTTTGAGATTCCTGTCCCTGCCTGCTTCAGCTAAAATTGGTTGTCCATATCTTTGAAAGCAAATGCTCAGGGAACACTCTAAGACTGGCTGGCAGGTGAACTTAAACCTCAGCTTCTTCTGAAAATTAGAACTTAGTTCAGAACATAGAATAGAATGTAGTACAAGTACTGATTCAGGTATTTTCCAGTGTGATGTGCATGGATTCAATACTCTTTACAGTGCAGCAGTGGCACAGTGTAAATCAGGGTTTGTCTCAGGGTTTTGTCTCAGGGTTTGCAGCAGGAAGATAATTAACTCAGGGTTTCTCCTTTCTGTGCCCTGCCCTTAATGTTTTCACTAATGAATTACCTGATCTTGGAATGATCAAGATTAACTCCATGGAGCATAAGACCTGTCTGTTTCTTGAAAAGCTGGCTTGGATGTCCATGAGATATATATAGATATAGATATATATACGTTCTTAAAGTTGTTCTTTGAGCCAGTTATAATGTTCAGATTTTTTTAATGTATGTCTGCAGTGCCTAAAAATGCACGTGCTCATAGTACTGCACTCTTAGATGTTAGAAAAAAACCCTACCTAATCAGAGCCATATGTCTCCTTCTTATAGCACTAAATTCTCAGGAAATGTAAGATTAGGTGTGCCTCCAGTACTTCTTTTTCTGATATTCACAACAGGTAGTTGTGAAAGTGAACTTGGTTTTTTTTTTCCCCCAAGGTCTTTAAAAAAACAAAGCCCACACAGTCATAATGGGTGAGGTCCCAAGACAATTAGTGGTTTAGACAATAGCTTGGACAGTATTAACAAGGGACAGTTTGTCATTGTGATGACATTTGACTTAGTGTAGAACTATTGCTTGGTTTTAAGCTTTTGCAGTCTGACACTGTTTTATCAAAACATACAGAAATTTGAAGGAAAAATATAGAGAAGAACATTTTAATTTCAATATTGTTTTTACTTAGTATGCATGCATAAAAATATTTTAGTAAGGCCACCAGGCTCAGTTAACTGTTACCCCGCAGTTGTTTAACAGTACTTTTAAATATAGTTTCAACTTAATGCAGGAGCAAAAACTCCCTAAGATTCTTTCTCAGAAATAAAAGTACCTCTGCTGCTGCAGTTGATGCCTTCATAAGAAATGTGGGGCAGACAGCTGGGTCCTTAAAAGTCTTAGACATCTGAGTTTATTAGTCTTTGTGAAACCAACCCTTAGCTGAGATGTAAAAGCAGACCTAAGTCAAAGGATGTCAGATAGACAGGGCAGGGACTCTGAATTAGATTTTATCTCCTTAAACTAAAATGATGGTGTTTTGGGAGACGACAAGAAAGTTTGTCAGAATGTCTTTTGGTTATCCAACTTTCTTGTGGCTGTTGACTTACTCTGTTTCTGTTTTCTGCCATTTCTGTGGTTCAATTTTTTTGTTCTTCATTCATGAGAGAAATGCTACAGGTTGAAAAATTGTAAAGGTGTATATATTGGAGAGTTAAGCTGCTGTATTAGTCCTCATTCTCTGTAGTTCATTGTTTGATTTGTCTTTCCCAGGGGTTGTATGAAGAAGCATTAAAGCAATTTAAAAAAATCGAGGATACAGATTTTCAAGCAATGTATCAGCTTGGTGTGATGTATTATGATGGACTAGGCACTGAAGAAGACCCCGTGAGTAATCCAGCTGCACACTTTTTACTTTTCTTCTAATATTAGCTGATAATTACTAGGAGCTTCTTTGTAAGTGTGATTGTTTAGTTTAAAATAAACAGCTTTTTGATTTAGAATCAGTTTCATAAAGTATGCATGTTTACAGAGCATCATTAAAGAGAGAGGGTTCTGGACTGAGGAAGTTCTCAAAAATGGCTATAATAAAATAGGTATATTTGAAAAATATGGTAATTTGTATTTTAAAATATAACTTCTAAGGGCTTGATTGTACTTTCTGTGGAAGCTACATTTAAAGATTGCTAATCATTTGTTACTTTTTAATAAGCAGTTCATATAAATGAAAATAAAGTGTGTAAAAATGGAAATCAAACAATTATATTTCAAAGTGTAAAACATCTGTTCCACAAAGACTTTTTTAAAATACTTTCTATTCTTCTAGCATAGATGCTAAAGATGATTGTGTTTCTGTCAGTGGTTGACAGTAATGTTTTTAAATTAGACAAATGAAAACTTACATTTGCAAGAAGTTGAGGAATTCAAACTGAATAATTATATTACAAAAAAGGAAGACAAAGGAATGCTTTGCTACATTAAGAGTTAATTTATCAGTAAAGATAATCTTAAAGAATAGCATGAGGAAAGAACACAAGCAGGATGAAAGAAAGGGTAAATTACAAGACAGGAGGAAAAAAAAAAAAAAAGAAAAGAAAAGAACCAAACAGTATATTAACAAAGGGGACTCTTGTCGGTGCTTATAGGATGGTCAGAAGAATGGAAAATATTCTGCTGGGGTTTAGAGGTGGTTCATTCGTTCTCTATGCCTGCATAATTACCACATTTATTTACTTGCAAATAAACATTTTAGCAGTTTCTTCCTTTTTTGTGTATTACAATATGGAAGCTGCATAAAGCACTGTTTCTGGTGTATTTAAACAAGGTCTCCATGCTAAATCCTAGCAGTGCAAACCTTGTCTCTAAAATACTTTTGAGATGCAGTTGCTCATATGCAATGTTCTCCATTTGTTTATTTAATGTTACCAGGCTTTGTCCTTTATGAATCCAAGGTATTTTAAATGAAGGGACTTGGAAGTGTACTTTGTCTTCTATTAAGACTGTCCTATGATTTCAAGATACATTATGCAATATGAAAAAGTTCATAGAATTCTGAAATTGGAAGTGTTGCAAGTTTAGGATGCAACATGCATTTACATAAGCAAAATAATATATTTTTTAATTTATTAGTGAAGAAGAGTAATATAATACCAAATGAACATTTACAAGGAAATGTTTCACATTAAAAATATGTTGGGGTCAAAGATCTAGGAGCTGTCCATTACCTAAAGATCAGTTCTGCTTTGGTATGAACTATTTTGCTACCAGTATGCCTCAACCTTTCTTCAGAGTGGAAGAATTACCTTTCTTGCAGAAGTTGGTGTGTTCTCAGATTCTTTATTTCATCCTCTTCACAATCTGAACATAATAACTTAAATGGCTCAATTTTAGGAAAGGGGAGTGGAATACATGAATAAAATACTCAACTCTGATTCCCCAAAAGCAAGACACCTGAAGGCTGCAGCTGCATACAATCTTGGCAGGGCATATTACGAAGGACGTGGTGTTAGGCGTTCAACCAAAGAGGCTGAAAGGTAAGAGCAGTCAGTGATTTTTCTGACAAATTATAAGATTCTGTGTTAACTTAAACTTTGTTGTCCCCATTTGCTTAGGTTGTGGCTTATTGCTGCAGACTACAGAAATCCAAAAGCAAGTGTAAAAGCCATGAGTACTTTAGGAATGCTTTATTCTATGCCAGTTCTAAAAGATCTGAAGAAGGTAAAGTCCGCTTGTACCTTTTGAAATGAAAATGAGTCCCAATTAATTTTTAATTTTATGGAAATATTACAGTGATATATTTGATTCTGAAAGATGTGTTTTAAGTAGTTAGGCAACATTTGACATTATCCATTTAAGTCTATATGAACAGATGGCCAGAATCCCTCATTTTGACTCACTTGACACTGCTGGTGAAGATTTATTTATATTTTTTTTAGTGAGAGTATCAGGAAGAATGATAGAATGGATTAAAGTTTTGTCAGCTTTGGTAACCTTCAGAAATCAAGCAGATGTCACTGATTGACAGCTCTGACAGTAAATGGAGCAGGCTTAAAAGCCTTACAAGGATTCTGCTTTCTTTTATGTATAAGCACTTCTTATAGGATGCTTGGTATAAGAGCTCTTATGGAAACAGTAGACAAGGAAAGCAGCTAAAGTAAATATATACTCCAACTTCGTGTCTCATTTAGGCCTTTTTCTGGCATTCAGAAGCATGCGACAATGGAAATCTGGAATCACAGGGAGCACTTGGCATTATGTATCTCTATGGACAAGGTGTACGTCAAAACACTAAGGCTGCTTTGAAGTGCTTGAGAGAAGCAGCAGAACGTGGAAACATCTATGCTCAAGGCCATCTTGTAGAATATTATTACACTAAAAAATTTTACTCAAAAGCTGCTGCACTGGCCAAAAGGTGAAGTTAATTTTGCTTTATTTTTCATTATGGTTCATGCAAGACCACGTAACCCAGATTAAAAGTATTAATAAGTTAATGCTCTTGTCTTTCAAACTCGAGAGATCTTTGAGATAATGAATTGCAAAACCTCATCTTTAAAGATAGAATAGCTAAACACAAAATTAATACTATAAGGTTTTCAATTACTCAGTATGGTTAAATTTTTCTTTCTGGTCCTGTAAAGCAAAACACCATTGAACTAGAATCCAAAGTAGATGTCCACATGCAAGCCTGCCTTTCTTGTGTCTCTTCAGTCCACAATCTCCTTTAGGCTCCTGCCTTCACCATTCCCTTTAAACCCCTACAATCATACAATCCTCAGGTTGGAAGGCACCTCACAGATCACCTGGTCCAACATTTCTTGGCAAAAGCACGGTCTAGGCAAGATGGTCCAGCACTCTGTTCAGCTGAATCTTAAAAGTGTCCACTGTTGGGGAATCTACCACTTCCCTTTATCTGCTTTTCCATTTCTGCTGTGCTCTCTCTTGGCTTTTAGCAGGCTCAGAAGCTCACAGTTAAGTAAAGGAGGTTTCTTGCCCCACATACTTTCCTTACCCTTAAAGGGAATGAACAATTTTTGTGCTTCCAGGAGAGCATTCTTGAAGACCTTGTCTTAGTACTAACTCTCAGTGAGCTCAGCAGGATCCCAGATCCACAATATTGTCATCACTGCAGCCAAAACTATCACTAACTGAGATATTACAAAGCAGAGTTTCTTGGTTTGTGAGGAACATATCCAGCAATGCCTCATTCCTAGTTGGCACATCTGACATTTGTATAAGGAAGCAGCTCTCTACTGCTCCATGGCAGGAACTGGATTGATGGCTTGGGAGTTGCTGTATTCTTCCATCTAATGTCTGGGTAGTTAAAGTCACCCATAAGAACCAGGTTCTGTTACCCAAAACTTATTAAGTGACCCAAATATTGCCTTGTTGGTCTCATTGTTTTGGTTTGGAGGTCGGTAGCAGATGCCTAATGCAAGATGCCTCTTGGAAATGACCCCTCTGATCTTGACCCAGAAGCATTCGATAAGGCTTCTAAAATTGCCATAGCTGACTTCTATACATTCGAGTTCTTAACACAGAGCATGATTCCTCCTCCTCCTCTTCCCTTCCTGTCTTTACAAAGCAGCTTAGAGCCACCCATTGTGATGCTCCTGCAACGTGAGTTGTTCCACTACATTTCAGTTATTCCTGATTTTGTAGCTTTCTGACTGGGTGCAGAGCTCCAGCTCCTCCTGTTTGTATACATACACTTGAGGTGGTTGGTCTTCTGGTTCACATCTTCGGAGGCAGCTAACGAACATTTGTTGCTGCTGTGGTTGGCTTGATTTATTCCCCATCTGGTTGCAATGGCACAGGTGCTACAACTTTGAGTCCAAAGTGCCCCCCAAGTCCTTCACTTTAAAGCTTGCCTCACCGGGTTAGCTAAAGATTCCCTTGCCTATTTAGCCAAGTGGATCCCATCCCTCCCTAATGGGCTGTAGTCAAAGAATGCCCTGTTGCCATAAAAGCCAAAACAGTCATGACAGCACCAGCCAGGAAGCCAGAAGTTTATTTGTTTTGTATGTCTGGTTTTGGCTGCATCCTTCCACCTAACTGGTAAAATGGAAGAAAAGGCTACCTGGCACAAATACTTTTCATGTACACTCCCAGGACTTTGTAGTTTTCCTTGATTCTGTGATGTCTGTCACTCGTGCCCACATGAGAGAGTAGCAAAGGATCTGTGCTGTGGCACCCTCCCAGCAACGCCTCAGGCCTCAGCTTCTGGACAGCCTGATTTTGGTTGCAATGCCAGAGGGTGGGGAGGGAAGTAGAGTCCTTTTGAGGATCACCAGGTGGATCACCAGGGTTCAAGGTGTCTCATTCTCTGTGGTGTCATGATTCCAAAACCACTTATCTATCGCTGTCTCAGCATCTCTAATACAAAGAACACAAGTATTCTTCCACTCTCCACCTACCCCATCTTAATATGATTTCTATCCACTGCTTCCCATCCATCATTCCTTACTCTGTGGCTCAGTGTGCTTTGGTCTGGTTCAGGAAATGCAAGCATTGATGCTGGTGGGATCCTGCAGTAAGCACTCCGAGCAGCACTGCCTGGGACTTAGAAGCAGCTGCTGCACACAATGCCAAGTTATCACCCTTGAGCTTTTCATCAGTTGCTGCTTACAAGGATGCATACTGTACAGATGCTTTTAAGTCTGGACCACAAAACAGGCATCTGCATACAAATGGATTCTGGTGGTTATCTTCTTGCTTAGAGGTACTGGTCTGAGTCCCAGTTAGGCAGCACTGACTGGCCTTTTCACAGGCAGTCACTGTGGGACTCACTGCTCTACCTACGCACTCTGGAGTGGCTCGTGTATTGAAGAAATAGCGGCTTCTGTTATAGGCTGCACTTTTTAAAATAGTCTGTATCAAGTTTCTGTGTCCTGAACTAGTCTTGGAGAACAAGAACAGTGTTGGTGCCATTTCTACAGCTGATAAACAGACAAACTTCCAGAGCTCAGCATATAAATTCAATCTGTCAATCAGATTATTGATTTGCTGGAAATAAGCTGCAAATAGATGGACTACTTGCACAAGCTGCACACAATAGCATTCATGCTTCTTGGGGTATGTTTACAAAACTGCTGCTGCCTGGCAATAAACAAATCACAACTCACCATCTTACAGAAGCTGCACCCTGTATATGCCATTGCATAGCAGAAGCTCTGGTAATTCAGTAGTGCAGCTATGAATGCTGTTTGCTGTACTCTTTGCTGGAAGGGATTGTTTCTCTCTGAACTGCTGCTTTTCTTTCTTTTGCACTGTAAGTAGACTGATAGCTATTCAGTCTAGTCTAGCCTGTCTCACTTGGAATGAATCCCCTCCAGTCAACACTGCATGGTAGATTATTCAGACAAGTAAATTGTGCACTTCATCAGCTGCAACTGTGATTGCACAAAATAGCAATGAAATCCCACAGTATAGTCAGAAGTGACAATATCTGAACCAAAAGATACTGCCACCATTAGAATTGGAGTTGGCCTTAAGGCAAAAATTTCAGGAGTTCAACCAGTAGTTTCAAGTGCCAATATCTTTTCTGCTAAAATTTGTCCTTCTGCATTCATATCAACTACACAGTTTGTTACATTATGTACATACAGATATTATGTGATTATGTACAGTATAACCTTGCCTAATGTTTGAAGTCTGGATTAGCTACTGATACTTCACTTCAAATAATTTATTTATCCCATATGATTCTACTAACCCATTTCTGTGATATGTTCTTGAAGGCAGCTGAGATGAAAGAGAGTTTTCGTCTGACTTTACTGGATATTGTTATTTGCATCAGCATCCTGTGGTGTATCTTTTGGAAAGGAGGCAAAAATGCTGTGCATCAGGAAAGATGAGAGAATTGGTTGCTGTTGTCATATTTCAGTGTTCTGGTTACTAAGAACAGTTGCGTTACTGTATTTGTTAATAGGACCAAATTAGGTAGGAGAACATTGCTCTCAACACATTCAAGTGATTTAGCAGGCACTGGCTTGAAGAGGGCTAATTGGGAACAATCTTTCATAAACACTGATTTATAGGTAGTAGCTATAAACTGAAATGACTTGAACTTTTCCTTCTTTTTTTCTGTCAAATCTGTGACTATCTGATACAGCTAAAATGATGTGTGAAGAAGCATATAGTTACTGTTTGGTACCTGGAAAGCATATGGGCCTTGGGGATTTCTGTTTTAAGACAACAGAAAAAAAAAATCACTTCCCCCTTAGAAAATGTTGTACCTAGTATTATAGTGACGATACTATGTAATGATAGCCTGAGAGTTAAAATTACATTTGCTTTGTCCGTCTGATTCTTAAAATGGTTCTTAGTAAAAACAACATGCAGAAAATAAGATGACGGCAAGCATGCAGAAGAAAGGAAATAATTGAGCTGAAACAATCATAAGTGAAACAATAATAAGTGGTTGTCCTAAGTGGGTTTTATAACCAGAGGCTCTCAACTATGTCCAAGATTTTCACATTATGATGATTTGCCAATATCCTAGTAAGAACTTGGAATTTGAGAATTGTAGAATCATGGAATGATTTGGGTTGACCCTTTATAGATCATCTAGTGCCAGCCCCTTTGCTGTGGGCTGGGGCATCTTCCACCTTGTGGACTGTAATTGAGGTGGCTCAATTACAACTGCCTTTCTTCAACATACAATTTCCATGAAATAATAGGAACAATTAGTGTAAAATACATTGCCTTTTATAACCAGTATAACTATAATGAAAGTGACTTCAAAAGTTATATATTTGTTTGCTGTTTAATATCACAACATTCAAATAAGACTAACTTTAAATCAAATACCGAATAGAAAACTCCTCATAAGATGCTGAATACATGTAAATTTCAGCTTATTTTTGGATAATACCAGAAATGGAAAGGAGGCGTTGTCAAGGTCATATATGGTCAACTTTAATTATAGCTTGACCTAGCACTATCTAACCTAATGCTCTAAATTCCACAATAGGACCACAGAAAACAATGACATCAATATGCTAGCCAAGAAAACTGATTGCCATCCAACATATGTAGCCAAGGGGGTTGCTATGGCTGCTTTCTACTTGGCTAGATGCCTCCAGCTTGGCCGAGGCATAAAGCAAGATCAAGATGCTGCTAAAAAGTACTATTCTAAGGTAAGTTGAGAAAGTCTACCAGACTAATTTATACCTCATGAAATTGAGCAATACCTTGGATTTGAGTCTTTCAGCTTGCTGTTCAGTTAAAATCTCCAGCATTATTTGTATTAAAAAAAAAACCAAAAAACACAACTGTGCAAGAAAAGGCATAGTGATAAAAGTATATTGACAACTACTCAAAATTGTCTTGAAAGGATGCTATCTGGCCACTTGCTTAAGCAAACAACACGTTGTACAAAACCAACAAAAAAAATCCATGGTAATTACCACAGCAAAGAGCTTGGTAACGTGAAAGATAAATTAGCTACAACAATTTGAATAATTCTATCCCAAATTAATTTGCTGTCATTCTCTAAAACTGAAAAATCATTACTTTTCCTCTGCTTTAGATTCTCTAGCAATTATAAATTTCATTAATGATACTTAATTAAGCCATAACTGGTTCTCAGGCTTATTTTTATAATTATATTTTTAGCAGTAGCCTAGGATGTACTGCTTTCCCTGTTCCCTATACGCAGGGAAAAAAACCAATCAGTCACATTTTTTTAAAGTTTAATCTTGGAGTAAGATTTATTGCTTGAGGAAAAATATCAATAATTGCCTCTAGAAGATGAATCTGCTAAGTAATACTGTGATGCCTAAAGGGCTTGATTATACCAACTGAAGGGAGTGTAGAAAGTTTGCATCTGTGCTTTAGAGAGATTCTATGATTTCTGTGCATGTAGTGACTATTTGTTTCTGCAAGTAGAATACTTTAACGTCCAGCTTGGTGCAATCTAAACAAATGGAGAGTTATGTAAATGACAAATTATCAAATAATTTTTGTGGCTCCTGACTCAGGGAAGCCACTGATATGAGGGTCTTAGCAGAGCACGTGATCTTCTGAATACAGACATTTTAAACATTTTTTTCTCCTGCTGTGAAAAGTGTTATAGAGGATAGGGTGAGGAGGAGATCAGGAAAGGAATCTAAGCTGAGGTGTTAGGAACACTGTAGCCAGTATTCCTAGTTAAATCTTAAGGCATCAAAGAGGTCCATCAGGATTAAATTGCTGCATGGCTTTGTGGGAGCCACTGTCTCCTAAAGTCTAGCAAAACCACCACTACTAAAAGAAGATTACAACTTTTATTCCTTATTCACTAGCTGTACATCTGAGACTGGTGTAGGAATGGCAGTGGCTTCTCAGGATAAAGAGAGATAATTCCTATTGACTGGTGCCATGCATCTCTAAATCAACAGTAAAAGAAAAGGAACGTAATATAAACAAGGAAGTTCCCTCAAGCAGTAACTTCAGCACAAGTAAGAGTTGTGGGGGTGTCCAGTTTCTTTTTGCCTGGAAAATTCTCATGTTAACTGTACAATTACACCTACTTAAAGTTAAAATCATATTTGTTTTTTAAATTAACTTCCCTGCTGTTGTTTTGGCATACCATTCTTAGACCCAGTCAGTTTTGAAAGAGGTGAGTAACAGAAGATGGGCACCCCCTAAGGGTACTGAAATAGATGATGGCAGTGAATGAAACTGATCAAGTCTGTAAGCAGATTTATGCTCTGACTGAAGTCACCACAGGCCATGCCAACAGAATTTAAAAAAATAAACCCAAGATGAACACTACAGTCAAGTATGCTAATTTTAAATCCAGATTCTTTTCTTACGTGGCATCAGAAACAGGAATTTAAACCCAAATATATAAGCTCCTCAATATTTTAAAAAAGTTGATTATCTCAGGTTTTTTGGCACTAATAGACCTTATTAGTGTTATATTGACAACATCTAATTTTATTGTAGCTATAAACCGCAACTCTGGTATTCTTTGTTTTCAAAGGCATGCCACCTGGATCCTGCTGTTGCCTCTGACCTTGAAGTGGCAGCTAATCTTGGCAGAATTTAGCATTTCCTTTAACTATGCTTGTTATGTAAATGTATTTCCTGCAGTAAATCATCATTAATCTCCAGCAATTACAGACTGTGCCTTACTTACTGCTTGCTTTTCAACTTTCTCTAAATTCTTCTTTAAAGCAATTTCCTGATTCATTTTATCTAAACCGAAGAAAAAAGCTCACACTCTTTCTTTAAGTCAGATGAAGCCAAGGCAGACTTTTAAAAGTAGTATTAAAGACTTAAAGTTTTATTAAGGACATTTAACTGGGAACAGATATATTTTCTTTATATCATACTGCTACGTAGCACATGAATCAAAACAAAACCAAATAAAAATGGTTGTTTCCTTTCTGCATATGTAGTGCTTCTTTTAATATTCTGAAAAGTATGAATGTGAACTTGTCTAGTTTTCACACACAGTCCACTCCCAGGCTATGGCCATTTTTAAACCTTGTCTTTGTTAGTGGTATGTATATTTTCTTTCACATGCTCTCTAATGCATCTAGATCTACTTAAGTGTCTTTACACATTTTACTCTTGGATTGCAGAGATTCGAAGTTGGAAACTGGCCGGTAAGACACTCAGCTTTACAGTTCAAGCCATGCCAGCTTGTAAAACTAGAAAATACTATTTACAGAACTATGGAAAGAAACCCTCCAAATATGAGTATGGAAATATTCAATATACATTCTCAGCATGAAGCTTGTTTTCCTTAATCATTCATATTGCATTTACATTGGCTCTGCTTGTATTAGAAATTGTTGAAAACCTTTTGGCTAGGAGTATGTCTGAGCAATGTCATGCTCAATCTTTTATCAAAAGATACTTTGATTAACCAGTAGTAAAACTTAATTGCTATGGTAAGATTGCACATTTTTCAATACCCACTTACTTACAGAACTTCCTAAGTGCTGAATTTGGCTTGCTTCTTAGGACTGCACCATGACCTGAAAACTTTCCTGAATGTGTTGGAACAAAAGGCTGGATGTTACTAAAAATGTTCATTAAATAGAGAATACAGATAGTGTGTACCTTACAATACAGCCAGTTTTATCTGCAAGTAGTTTTTCTAAGAGCACAACTGTACTGAATTGAAAAGACAGTAATGAGTGTCACCTTGGGATTTGTGATGATGTTTAATTATTCAGATGTGCATTGAGACCATATTTACATATTTTTACATAAATTAAAAAAAATAACCAAAAGCAAAAAACCACCGAAGACAGTTTTCTTTCCTGGTATAAAATAAGGGAAATATTTGAAGGTTTTTTGAAATTGGGGTATTTGAATAAAACAGCCCTGAGTAATATCAGGGAAGTTGTTAGAACGGTTTAATTAAATGTCTGCTTGATCATTCATAGAAGCAATTCATAAGCACTAATCTCTGAACTAACATTTAACACAGGCATTCTGTTAGGACATACCAGTTTACAATACATAATTTTGACACAGACTTCAAAGCAATGTAGATATTTCTTACGAAACTAGTGCTGTCAAACTCATTCATTAGTTGTCAGTACAGCCTCACTATCAAATACTGCAATCCAGTTGTGATATTTATTGCTTACAAATGCTTCAAACTACAGGAAATCTTTGGTAAAAACAAAATTGATAAAATTTTCACAATAGCTTTACATGTAGTATTGCACAACAAGGCTTTTTCAATACACAAGAAAAAAAGAGGAATGCTCAGATCCTCAGTGAGGAGATTAGAACTGTACAACATTCATTAGTTTTCCACTATAAGCAAAATTTCTTTTCATAAATGTTTAAAATATTTTCTGGTTTCTTTCGGCATATATGAACATTTATTTTTCAATCTATATTTGAAACAGAAGAGTAGTCAAATAGAACCATTTAAATAAAAATTGGCAGCTATACAGCATTGTTTTGTCTACCCTACTACAGCATCAGATCTTTTCAAGTCTGTTTACCTCACAAAAAACTCAAGAGGAAAGAAAAATGCTAAAAATAATCATAGTCCTCAGCCCTCTATGGAAAAGAGGAAAATAAGTTTCATGTCTATTATCGAACATAGACATTTCTCTAGTGGTCCAGTTGTGCAGATTCAAACCTAAGTGGAATTAAGCTGCTCTAAATGAGCTCTCAGCTCAGGACACAGTTCAGTTAGCAGCAGTTCCAGCAAAACCTGAAAAAGAGAAACGAGTTAAGATGATGCAGGTGCCAAACAAATGAGAATTTCTTATTCCCTTCTGTCATGTTTAGAGCATCACGGACAACAGAAGCACGTACGTTCAATTCTGTTAATCATTCACGCAACTATTCTTTCATCCTGAGGTTAGCATGTGCCCTGCAGAGAACATGGGAAATGTCTTAAGGCTGAAAGGAGGCAAGTGCAAAGGGCAGCTGCTTTCAGATGGGGATTTCCCACCCAGCATAAACTGTCGCTGTTCTGCCAAGGACTCTGCAGCATGACAAGCAAGCACCAGAGCACGCATCTCATGCATGTCGTGAGCAGGCTGCATCCTCTCCAGTGCTAAGGCTGCACTGTGTGATGGGCTGGTGGCCAACATGAGCCAGAAGAGACTGACTGAGCGTGAAGGTATAATCCAGCTGCATACTCCAACATAGTCCCAGCAGTTGAGGAGTGGAACTTTTGGAGTCGTATCATGTCCTAACTACAAGCCAGTCCTGGATCCCTCCTTTCCTAGGATTCTCCAAAACATATTTATTTTTCTAAGCTGTATGAAGAAATTAGTTTGCACCTTACTAAGTCGAGAAAGATGGATGTGGCTGAGGATCTCTTTTAGACAAAAGTAAAGCCTTTTATTTTTAAACTTAGGTGATCAAACCAAGTACATTTTTCTCACTTATTTTAATTAAAAAAAAAAAAAAGTTACTTGCACACAGGCCAATAGTTCAAATTATAATGGCCAGTCTTCGCAAGCGAAGATCCGGGGAAGGTCTTTACACCTTCCAGCCTGCGCATTGGATTTTTTAGGTGAGACACAGTGTGCGCGGAACTGAGCCCACCCTTTAATCCTAAGGTTCATCTGCCGGGGCCAAGCGAGCTTGGACGGTGGCAGCGAGGTCCTCAGGACGTAGGTGGGTTGCCTTTAAGGGCTAACGAGCCCCACCTGCCCGGGAGTGGCCCTGACCGGGAATCGAACCCGGGTCTCCGCGGTGATAGCGCGGCGCCCTTACCACTAGACCACCAGGGGCTCCTAGTTCAAATTAAATCACTGTTTTAACACTGAGTGAATAGAGCTCAGCAATTAACAAGATCATGAAGTTAAAAAGCTACTTTTCTGGTTACTTACATAAAGTAGATGCTTGTTAGCCTTCCTTTCTTGCAATGCATTGAACACTTTCACTACACCATGACGGGCATTTTGTTGTCCAACAAGATTCTGCAGAGTATCTGCAACAAACATCACTTCAGCTTATTTTGGTTTACTCCTGCTAGGCAAACCTCCAGCCTATACTACTACCCAGAATTACACAACCAACCCCATCAGGGTTGGAAAAGACCTTCAAGATCACCTAGTTCAACCATAAGGACCCATAAAGGAGGGGAAACAAAGCCACTGCACTTCAGTGGCCCTTGGTTACACAGTGCCTACTCAACAACCTTTTAAAAATATAGGTAATTTAGGTCACAGCTTGAAAAGATACCCTTATTCTCAAATTACCCAAATTAGATAATAGTGTGTAAATCTCAGTGACAACACTTTACGTGTTTTAACATGACACACAGGATGCTTTTTTGGTAGTTCACCTCACAGTCAAGTCTAATCTCATACATCATCTCATACATTATTAAACCATTCACTTAAATTACCTACACCAACAAAGACAGAATTCCTATAACAGTTAAGAAAGATTTAGCACTTTAATTGCTTCTCAATCTTCGCCGAGAGTACTTCCCACAAGTAAGCAGTTCAGAGAATTCTTAGTCAATTATTTACATTTTGGATTAAATTAGAGAATAAATAGTGATCCAATGCTCCACCATTAATCTAAGGTGCATTCAGCTGTGTCCTGTCATACGGCTCCAAACTCAGAAACAAACAAACACACAGAAAAATGAAACAAAACCACAAACTATGGAAGGCCATCCAGATAAGAAGGTCAGTATATAACACAGGGAGTAAATGGAGAGTTGTTTACACATGAAATAAATATTTTGCATGCATACCTGCTGCTTTTTTGCAGTAAAATTTAATTAAACAACCTAATGCACAGTGTGTCTCAGTGAAGTCATAAAAGAGCTCATTCTCTTCAGATGAAGAGGAGATAAAAAGCATTCAAGTTACGTTTAAGTGCACTTCCAAGTGCTAAAAGTAATGCTATTGTTTCTTCCCAGTTAGGAGCCTTTGGTTTGCACGATCTCTGAGGAGTCAAAAATATATAACTGGACTTCTGGTCCTGTGAATGGGACAGGATGGAGCATCTCAGAATGGTGCCCCAGAAACGTGCTGGCTCAAGAGGAAGCTGCCTAAGCTTGGGAGATAAGGGTGGGAAAGGAAAATACTGGGGAACCAACTCAGTCTAGGATCTTTTTCTGTCCAGGCTGCAGGTCACTCTAACATTCAGTGCTCTGAAATCTCACATCAGAAACAGACAGTGATACACAACATGACATTGTGGGTAGACCTCTCTCTTCAACTTCAAAATAAAAGAGGAAGAAGTAATTGGGACGGTGCCACTCTTCTATTTGTCAAGTAGTTCCAGGTAGCAGAACCACTTGGTATTTGCTCACAGAGAATCAGCAGAGAGAAAGTCTCAACTGAGGTTCCTTGATGAATATTACACACGGAAGTACAGCAATACTGGATTTTGCATCCACCAATATCTATTCATGCCCTTTACCAGACAGGCAGGAGAGGCAAAGAGTAAGGCCAAAATCATCCTTATTTATGCAAATAACCATGATTTAGAACTCTACAGGAAAAAAATTTGATTAGCCAGTTTCCTTATAGCTACTTAATCTGTGACTACGCAGAACAAAAGTGATCTCACCTGGAATGTTTTCAAGTAGTTTTTGCTGTGCTCTCTGTTTTGTCTCTTGCTTTTGTTCATCGCTCTTGGCTCTCGGTGGTGGTGCTAACTTTCCATTCGGCCAAAAAGCATCTCGAAACACACCAATGTAGTAAACAAGCATTGGTTCACTGAACATCCAG